AAGATTGGCCCTCAGCTAATATCTTTTGCCAATCTTCCTCTTTTGCTTGAGGAAGAATGGCCCTGAGCTAACATCTGTGCCAATTTTCCTCTATTTTGTATATGGGATGCCATCACAGCATGGCTTGATGAGCAGTGTGTAGGTCCACACCCGGGATCTGAACCCTCAAACACTGGGGCTGCCAAAGCAGAGCATGAGAACTTAAACACTACGCCACTGGGCTGGCCCCTAATTTCACATTTTGAGGAAGAGGTTTGCTCAGGTTAACGCCTGCAAAGATGGGTAAACGTTTCTAGTGCCCTTATTTGCATTGCAACTTTCTTTCAGAATACAAAGTGCTTTCACCAAGACTCTTTCATTTTTGCTTAAAATATCCTGTGAGATCAATGGAGGCAACTGATACTTCACCTTTTGATGGGGAAACCGAAACAAGAATGATGAAGATAACTTTCATAGAGTGCAGTCTATTCTAGCACGGCTCACTGGTTCTAAACTCAAAGTACATGTCATATATGGATGGGCATCAAGGCCAAAAATACCACAGTGCTATCTGTGAATTTAGGGATTGCCAAAGTTCTCAGCAGAATACCATGAGAATGTCAAGTCTTCCATAATTCACTCTCTTGGGACACAGAGGCTATGAGACCAATCTGGGCCTTAAAATGTACACCAGACCCCACATATGACAAAGGTTGTGCTGTCACACAGTTCAGCCATGACTTGTATCATGGCGGCACATGTAATAGAGAGAGTAGAGAAATATATAAAGAAAGAATTGTAGCATTCTTGTAAATAGAAAACGAAACACCTTCTCTTTTAAATATACTTCTGCTTACTTGCTAGATAATTACATTTTATTAAAAATAAGAAAACATTTAATAACAAACAGATGGGCCACAGAATAACAGTCTGAGGAGCAGTGTGTTAGATGATCTCTAGGGTCTCTCTGTTTCAAGTCTTACGACTCCAACTCAGGACAAACTGATCAGGCTTGTTGGAACAATGATGATGGATTTCAGTTTATAAGGTTGGTCTGTAAGGAAGGGACATTTGAAGTCTTAATTTTAAAGTCTAGGTGGTGATTTAAATTTGAGATAACAAAAGTCATTTTTCTCCTAAAAGATAAACTGGAAAAAAGTACAATGATAGAAATAACTATTCCATCTCAAACTATTGCAGAGATAGAAAGATGACTTATTTTAAATCAGGAAACATCAACCATGACCAGAGATGGGAGAATCTGAGCACATACAGACAATGACCCTCTTCTCGTCTTGCCGATGCTTCTGTGACCCTTTCTAAACAAGGTTGATCTGTTTCAGGAGAGAGGGTGAAAATGTCCACATTACTTAGAAGAATGGCTACAAGACAGTGCTGACAGGCGTATCCAAACCTTTTAGGTCTGGTGTCCACAAGCAGCTGGCAGAAGACCCACCACCAACACTTCTCACAGATGGCACAGGCTGGGGGCTCTCAACATGGAGGGTGGGGCCAGTCCAGGCTCTGCCCACAGCTATGACAGGACCTTAGGGAGGCCACACCGCATCTCAGGCACCCCAATTCCCCATGTCCTTTAATGCCAACATTTAACTGGTCATTTTCAAACTGGAAGAGAACTTTATCTCCTATGTGCAATTAGCAAGTCAATCCTCATGATTTTTCCTTAAAAGATATCAAATCTTCCTTTTTCAGTCTTCTCTCTATGATCATAATCCATGTTCTCACCCTCACTCCTAAATCACTCCCACCACTTCCTCCATCTCCCGACTCTTCTCAAGTTGTCAAAATAATAATTTTGCTAAAGACCTGAATTCAGCCAGTTACTTGCCTGCTTCAGTTGTTCCTCAATATTTGTAGGATCGCATGTAATAATCTTTAGCTTGGCCTTAGGGTTTTACAGTACTTGGCCTCGCCTGCTTTTCCCTCTTCTCTCCCACTACCTGCCCCTCCCCCTCCTCTGCCCAGCGCATCCCAGCCCTCAAAGCCAACACCCTCATTTCACTCCATCTCATGCCCTTTCTCCTCCACTTCTCTCCACTGGGATGTCATTCCTCTTGGTTTTTTGTTTGTTCGTTTGTTTTATGGCTGACAGTGTGAGGGCTACGTAACTGTGATGCGTATAAAACTAACTTTAACTAGAACATTTTCTTTGGAGGTTTTTTCCCAGCTTCATTGAGGTATAAATAACAAATAAAACTAAGATATGTAAAGTGTACAATATGATGATTTGATATACATATACATTGTGAAAGAATTTCCCCCATCAAGTTAATTAACACATCCATCCCCTCACATACTTAGCTTTATTCATTTATTTTTTTGGTGAGAACATTTAAGTTCTATTCTCTAAGCAAATGTCAACTATACAATACAGTGTCATCAACTCTGTCACCATGTTGTACATGAGATCCTCAGACTTCATTCATCTTATAACTGAAAGTTTCTATCCTTTTGCCAACTATCCAAATTCTTCCTATCCTTCAATATCCAGGCCACAACCTGCCAGCTTTCTCTGTGAAGTTTCCTTTGACTTTTAGTCTAGATGGACCCTGCCATTCCTTGAACAACCACAGTTCTCATCTGCATCACTTACTTGGGTCTGTGTGTAAACGGTTACTGGCGGTACATGACTGAGCTTGTAAGATCTCTCTGAATCACTCTGGAAAACCTACTGCTCTACTTGTGGCTTTTCTCCTCCACCTGGAACGCTCTTCCCCCACGTAACTTTAGGATATGTTTGATTTCCTTTTTCACGTTTTCACTCAAAAAAAAATCTCCTCGTGAGGTCTTTCCTGACTACCCCATCTTCAATTACTACCTCGACATGCCCCCAATTTCCCTTTTCTGCTTTAAATTTTCATGCTTAGCACTTCCTGGTAGTCAACACACTAGACGTTTTTATTATTTATCTCGTTTGTGTCAGCCTCACACTAGATTCCAAGCTGAACAAGGAGAGAGACTTCAATCTGTTTTGCTGATTAATGCATCCCAGTTCCTAAACAGAACCTGGTATTTGATAAGTGCTCAAAAAATACATTTTGAATGAATTCATTATTAAAAACTGAAAGCAACACTAATAATGATGATTAATAATAATAAACAAATGCTAATATAAAATTGAGAACACACTGTGTGCCGGGCCCTGCACATATTTTCCATATACTATATAATACCATTATTATTAACTGTGACCTATTTTCCTCCTTGCCAAATAAAACAAGGCTTAAAAAGGTTAAAAATTTTTCTCAAGAACACACAGCAAATAAATATTACTAAAAATAAGTCCTAGGCTTATTTATCACTGAAAATATATCCTAGGCTGAGGAAAAAACTAAATGAAAATAAGATTCTTTTTGGACATGAGGAAAGAACTCCTCTGGGAATTACTTGTAAATGTTTTTTTTTTTAACTAACAGCTAATATTTTAATTTCCTGTCCTCTTTTCTTAGTAATTTATCCTACACTTTTCCCTAAACTTGCATTTCCTTACTTACCCACCCTTCACCTCCAAGAAGAGAAAATCTTCCGACTAGCATTGCGACTTCACTGAAGAGATAAAAATTCCATCTTAAAAATGTGGCTCAGTTCTCCTGTCCAGGCCAAGTGCCGAACGAGTGGCTGGTCCCCACAGTGAGGGCACAGTGTCCACCAGGGGAGGAGGGGAGAGCCAAGAATGCTTTCTTCATAATTACCTCAGATTTTCCAGCATGAGAGGGGAAAGAGGAAGTCTATTTTCAGTGACAGTGATTACTCTAAAGATATTAGCATGCAAGGGGAACATTTTCATTCTGAGAGTCACTACTGTGCTGAGTTCTGTTTCCCTTACAGAGTGACCTAAAATTCCCAGGGCAGAGCAGTAATCTAGGCAGATGCACTTGCCCCGTGTCTTCAAAACGGCAACATCCAGGAATCATGGGAGTTGACATGAGGACACACGGGGAGGGGCTTCTCAGCACCAGCCAGGCTCTGAGAGGTATCAAGTGGCAGAGTGGACACTCACGTCCCGGGCTTCTGGAGTGAGGGCAGAGATGACAGCTACCAGGCATTTTAGAAGACTCGTTATGCTGAATGCATGAACACGATTCAGTGAAACGGAAGCTGAATTACCCGCTAAAAGGAAAAAAAACCTTGTTCTTCCTTTTCTCTACCTAACCTCCATTTCTTTCCTATGATACACTCATAATTTTAACTGGCTTATAGTACAGGCAAAGGTATATATAAGAGAATTCATTCTAGTGCTCATCTGCAATATTTTGGGGAAAAATACATGCGTTCCTACTTCTGTACAGCCATGTAAATGATAATGATCTGATAAATGACCCTTAGGCTGGGACATTCATTAGCAGGTGAGTAGCATTCAGAAGAAATTGATCTTTATTAAGATCAACTATAAGAACATGATGTAAAAAGTATTTGGTGTCTCCCTCTGTCAGGACCTCTATTTGTATTTTCAGAAAAATCATGTGAAAAAATCACATAGACTTTCCTGAGATCTGTCATTTAAACTTTAGTTCTCTGCTAGTTTTATGGGGCTAAATTGTCAAGAAACGTAGCTGCCTAGGCTCAGAAGGTGCTCACTTTTCAGATCAGCAAACAACCACAAATATCACTTTTTTGGTCCTCAACAAGACTGAGACAAAGTGGCCACAAGCGCGGAAAAAATGGAGGAGAGAAACACTGACTAGTGTTACAGAGAGCACCTTCTCCATGCTTATATAGTTATATCTGAATGGTTCTCATGTCTCTGTTTTTTTAATTCACGGACATTGAGAATCTGATGAAAATCTTCCCTCTCTCCAGACAAAAATGCATATACAAAAAAGCCAGCACACATCTTCGGGATATTCACAGATCTTGCAGTCTAACCCATGAGCACAGACAATAAAGGTATTTGAGAGAGTACAGAGTAACTTAGAGTTGAAGGTTGAAAGAGAGATGGCCGTTACACTGAGAATAAACGTTTACTCGCAAACCAAGCACCAGGGTCCCCACTGCCTTACCAGCTGCTCTGTCCCTCACTGCTCCTGCTGGATCATGACCTGTCGGCTGCTGCTGGGCCCATCTCCTGCTTCCAAGCGTGGTCACTGGACAGGAGCAAGGGCAATGGACAGTCTTGAGAGGGTCTGCTGCTGAATGTTGGCCAGCCTGGAAAAGATACAGAGTTTGAATATTTTTAAGTTAGCAAAAGGGAACAAGGCATGTACATCTGGTGTGAAAGCTCTTATGTAGAGTTTAAAAGATTTTCGATGCCTGTAATTGGATATTTCCACTACACCTGTTAAAAAATTCAGGGTTGGAGGATCTTTGTTAAAGCAATGAAACTCCCAAATGTGCCATAACAACACTGTCTGGTATTGGTAGAGCACTTGGCAGTGCCCAAGCATCTCTGCCCGTATCAGGTCCTCACATCGTGACTGTGGTAGTCAGGCTCAGGCCCTGCAGGCTTACATTACTCCATCTGATGAATCCGATGGTTCTCAGCCTCAGTTGTAACCATATCACCTGGGTGTGAAGCTGAGGCTTTGTGCTCAGAGATTCTGATTTGTGGGCTAAATGAAGCCTTATTCCCCAGGTGATTCTAAGGTGCGGCCAGGATTGAGAATCATTACCTTAAGCCCTTGTGCTTGTCGAGGTGTGGCACTAACAACTCATAGATAGCGAATGTTTATTCAGAATATACTGTATCGAGGCAATGTGCTGAGGGCTATGGAAAAGGTAAAGCATCATATCATGTGGCCTTGTGCCTAGGGGCTTTAATTTAGCTGAAGAGATTGGACACGTCCTTTAAAAAGATCACCTAGTAAGAGACATACTTTACAAGTATAACCAAAGCAAGGCTTCACTGGTCAAAGATGCAGTGAAAATCTCGGATGCTACAAATAGAGATGACCATGCACGCAAATAAGGGAGAAAGTTTCATGCATGAGGAACTCAGCAGACTGAGTTCTAAGGGCGGGAAGAAATTCAGAGGCAGAGAGGAAGGGGAGGGGGCACCGTTTTCAGTCAAAGACAGCTGCAGGAACATGCACAGCACACAGAGGGAGACTAAAAAGCCCTTTCTGATGGAAGGATTTCTATAAAGGAGAAGAGGCAGATGTGAGCCAGAATGTAAAGAGTATTGGTCAAATGGCAAATGAGTTGGGCCATTTTCCAGAATATCCAGAAATAATATCTGGAATAGTATTGGAAGCTGTTGAGGGCTCACGTCCTAAGGGGTCTTAGTGAATTTACTGAGTTCTTAGAAAATGCCAGACACCATGCTACATGCACTATGTATGTTACCTCATTTAACACAAACATCTGGTGAGGGAGTTATTACTATCCATATTTTGCAGAGTTAGAAGAGAGGTCACTTAATTTTCTCAAAGTTACAGAGCTTGAAACAGTAAGTTGAGACTGGGACATGCTGTTTCATGAACATGGCATCATGAAAGTCATGTGTTAAGATTTAGGATTTTTAAAAATTGAGATATAATTCACACACCATAAGATTCATTCTTTTACAGTATACAATTCTGTGGGTTTCAGTATATTCAAAAAGTTGTGCCATTATTGCCACTATCAAATTTCAGGACAATTTCATCACTCCCAAAATAAATCCAGCACCTATTAAGAGTCAGTGCCTCATTCATCTCTCCTGCAGTGAATCGACTTTCTATCTCTACGGATTTGCCTATTCTGGATATTTCAGATAAATGAAATCATGCAGAAGTTGGCTTTTTGTGTCTGGTTTCTTTTACTTAGCAAAACGTTGTCAAGGTTCATCTATGTTTCAGTGTGTATCAGGACTTCATTCTTTTTTTATGGCTGAGTAATATTCTACTGTATAGATATACAAAACTTTCTTTATTCATGATGGATATTTGGGTTATTTCTACCTTTTGGCTATTATAAATAATGCTGCTATTAACATTCATTTATAAGTCTTTTTCCATTGTGGTAAAATATATGTAACATAAAATTTACCACTTTAACCAGATTTTAAGTCTACAGTTCTGTGGCATTAAGCACATTCATATTGCTGTGTAACCATCAGCACCATCCATCTCTAGAACTTTTTCATCTTTTCAAACTGAAACTCTGTGCCCATTAAACAATAACTCCCCATTCTCCCCTCCCCTAAGGCCCTGGCAAACACTATTCTACTTTTTGTCTCTATGAATTTGACTATTCTAGATGCCTCATATAAGCAGAATCACATATTTGTCCTTTTGTGTCTGGCTTATTTCACTTAGCATATGTCTTCAAGATTCATCCATGTTGTACCATGTGTCAGAATTTCCTTCCTTTTTAAGGGTGAATGATATTCCATTATATATATATATCTATACATATATACACCACATTTTATTTATCCATTCATCTGTGGATGGACACTTGGGTTGCGTCCACCTTTAGGTCTTTGTGAATAATGCTGTTTTGAACATGACTGTTCATTGTTTATAAGTATTTGTGTGGACATATGTTTTCAATTCTCTTGGGAACGGAATTCCTAGGAGGTGAATTGCTGGGTCATATGGTAATTCTATGTTTTATCTTTTGAGGAACTGCCAAACTTTTGCAAAGTGGCTATCCTATTTTACATTTCCATCAGCAGTGTATGTTCCAATTTGTCCACGTTCTCAACAACACTTGTCATCGTCTGTTTTATTGTACAGCCATCCTAGCAAGCATGAAGCAGTAGAAGATTTAGGTGTCATAAATCATCACATGCAAGTCATTGGCTTATTGCAGTAGTTCAGACATAAAGTGAAGAGTCTGAACAAGGGGGTGGCAGAGGAAATGAAGCAAAATGCCCAGGCATGGAAATATTACTGATTGAGAAATGAGAGATGTTAATAACACTCTAGATGTAGAGAGAAGAGAAAGACTCAATTATAGTAATAAAGCTTTGAGGCTGCTTGCCTGGAAGAATGATAGTACTAATCAGAGAAATAGGTAATTCTAGGAAGGAATCCAAAATGCAAAAATAAATTCTTGACAAGATGTATTTGAGGAATCTATATATTCCAAATAACAGTGACCAGGCAGGTGAAGCACAGGATCTCGGGGCTGGAGACGAGGAAAGATCTCGTGTGTTTGGAAAGGGTCGAAGAAGCATTGGTAAGACTAGAGGAGGGTCAGTGTCTAGAGTTCTGAGGCTGGGTTAGCAACTTTGGGACCACATGCTGAGGAAGGCGGAGCCACAGAACCGTACACTTGCCTTCCTGTCTTCTGTTTAAAACAGCAAAACAAAACTTAAACAGTGAAAATAACATCTTCTTTACACTCAGGGTTTTGTCAGAACTTGGGCTGTGAATCCCTTGAGTTGGCAGCGGATCTTTATCTATACTTTGGGACAATCAGGAGAGCAGTGCCCATGGCTCAGAATGGTGTGACCAGCTCAGTGGGGCTGCCCTGGAGGGCTGGCACGTGACGGGAGTCCCAGAGGAAGTGGTGTTGCTACCAGCAGTTATCTAGTTGGCTGGGAACCAAGTATGCAGACTACCCAGGAGAAACCCGCCCTTCCAGTTTTCTATGACCCAAGCAGCCCCCTAATGAAAAGAAGCCACCCCCAACCAATAGCACATACACCTTCAGGAGGCCACACGTCTCCTGTCAGAACACAGTTCCTCAGTGGTCAGTGATCCTGGCTTTGTTCTGTTTTGGAAAATCTCCCATCCGATAACATTTAGGCATCAATACAGTGATGACACGTGCTCACGCTGGGGTGCCTGCTTTGAAAGGGAAGCTTAATGATCCTATTCAAGATGCAGAGCTGAATATCCCCAAAGAAAATGCAGAACACTGTCAGTCATCTTATACACCGGGTTTTTTCTCTGACCTGATATATTGAGAGTTAAAAAAAAAATTGCTTAGGAGGCAAAACAGAATAAACACACGAAGGGTAACTGCTGAAGACAGACGTTGAGGTAAGAGCCATACAGAAAAAAAAAAAAATCTAAGAAGGAAAGCCTAGGAGCACATTTAAATGTTCTCACCCCCACACACATATCTACATTTTTAATTGAATGAAATAAACCCCACAGTCAAAGCTGCAATCTTTCTGAGGATAATATGGTGCCAAAATAGATTTTTCTTTGTTTCCCTAAATTGAAGCCTAATCTGGTATATTTTATCTTCAGCAACTACACTGTGTTTTAAAAGGATATCTACTTTCTGCAATATTTTCCAGAATGTAGATGAAAAAATAACAATAACAATAAAAATGGCTAAGATTTATTGAATGCCTTCTTGGTCATTATATCTTCAAAATCCTATCAGGAGCACACAGCCCGGGCCTGTGCGCTCCTCCATTATGCGTCAGGGCTCCACCGGCATGGAGATTCAGTGAAGAAAAAAATCTCATTTTAGTGAAAGGTATGTTATTCTACATTTCAATCACTAGAAGCAGAACCTTTCTCTCAAAAACAAAATTTTTCTCTACAAACCAGTCATTCCCCCTATAAACATGCATCCCTCAATCCAGGCCATGCATCGTGTATAGAACTCTTTCTTTCCATCACTGATCAGAAGTCACTATAAACAGGGACCCTGTTTAAACAGGGGCCATGTTTACCTTGAGGGGTCTTGTCCTTCCTTCCCCTTCGTGTGACTGGTCCACCCTCAGTGCACTTCTCTCCAAAGCTTCCCAGCAAGAAGCATCTCATTCCTGCTCTAACGCTGCCTTGGCTGCTTCCCTGGTCCATGTGCTCCTCCTCCAGGTCCAAACGGGGTCAGGCTGGAGTTCATTCAACAGCGGGTTCCCGACCTCAGCAGGATACGCCCACAGAATAGTTCTCCTCCCACTTCTCTCTCTCTCTCTCACACGTACACACACGACCTCCTTCTGCAAGTAAATGATCCCAACAGTACGGTGCCTGAAGGGAAGCGCTATTTCAGAATGTCAGCTACTTGGCAGCAACGGCTGTTCTATTAATGCTTAAAAAAACCACTATACAGTAGTTAAAACTCTAGGAAGAAAACAAGGACCGCCTCTGCATATTTACTCCACGCTCTTCCCAACAGACCAAGTGGTGACTCCAAGGAAAATTCAGTGAGTGTGTACAGAACAAATTCCACTAAGAGAAAAACAAACACACACCAAACATGGTTGTTTCTAATCAACAATCTTTATAGAACTAAAATTGCCAAGCAAAGCTGAA